CGTGAAACCTAACGGCAACACTTTGGATACACACAGATCTATATACATACACCTATATGTCTATATTATAAGACCTGTGTACATATGTTTGAATTTTTTTTCCGCCACATTCTCCAAGGACAAACAACATTTTAGTGAGCGCCGCCGCCGGCTAACGGCAAAAGGCAGTCCGAAGCTGAGATTGATCTACAAAGCTCAGCCTCTGGTCTCTGGTCTCTGGTCTCTAGTCTCTAGTCTCTGGTCTGGTTGAGTTTTTCGCATTCGCGTTGCCAACTTTCCTTTTTGTCTGTATACATGTGTGCTTGTCTGCATGTGTATTTGTGTGTGTGTGGGCACAAAGTGTGCGGGCGCACATTAAAACAAAAACAAAAACAAAAGCAAAAGCAACAACAACTAAAACCGAAACAGAAAACTAAAAACTCAGCACAGGCAATGCCAATGAGGGCACCACATTAAAAAGGTGTGGCAACTCGGCTACGTTCTGGTGCAGCAGAAATAAAAAAGAAACACAAAAACAACAACAACAACTGCTCCATACGCCAACATAGCAGTTAAACTTAAAGTTAAAGTTAAAGTTACAGTTACAAATTCAAAAGCCTCCAGCGGCAGGCCAACAAAATGGCATAAATAAAAATTTGTGTTGGCTTTTCAGCAACTTGAAACAAAACTTCAAGCCACACACGCACATACACACACACACACACACACTCACACACACACACTCGCATACAACTGTTAACAGCTAGAACAAAGCACCGAGGCGCCAAATACCCTAACCTGATATAGTCAAATGACATTTTTAAGACTGATGTTTACATTAGACAGTTAACATTTACTTTGAATAATTTTCAATCATATAGCGAAGAATTGAAAAATAGAATTTCAAAATATGCAAGTATAACTTTGTTATTTTTGATCCAATATAATAAACGTCAAAAATATATATATATATATACAGGAAAATATGCCAATTGTTATGTAAATATTTTGATATAATAACTATTGTGTTATTGTTACAAAATGTTAACTGTTTTTTGTAGGAAATTGACTGGGTGCAAAGTAGAAAATGCTTGCTGTGCCGATACCTACTACTTATGTATGTGTGTGTCTGTATATACTTGATAGAATTTTATAGTAACACGGTAGCTTTTAATATAAGTTCAAAAGAAAAGTTAAAAACACGTTAAAATGGAGGAACTACCTTCTAATGTATTTAACTTTATATCAGGGAATCAAACCGAAACTGGAATCGAAATCAGGAACCGCTAAGTTCAGATTTAAGTTCAGAGCGAGAACCGGAACTGGAACCGACAAACATTTCGTAAAGCTTTTACGTATTTACTCCATTTCTACATCTATCCCGAAAGAAATTCTTTACATGCCATTGTAACTAGTATCTCGATAATATATTATATTTTCATTTTTCAGCAAATAAAATAAACATATTTAAAATTAAAATTAAAATAAGGTAATTGTGGTCGTATATATAAATTTAAAAAAAATAAAATTTTATTTAAGAAAATACTCATTTGCTTAAATGAACCAAACAAGAAAACAGCAAGGATTAAACTTGTATTGTAATTAATTTGTTAAGAAAGTTATGAAGCGCAGATTAGACTAATTTTCGTATATTTAACACGCACAAAAAGAACAAGATATATGTATATGAATATCAATTAAAAATAAATAGCAATTATAAATAAATACATTTTGTATAGCAATTATATTTATTTATATTGAATTGAATTCCTTCTCGGACTTCTTTCCATTTTTCAGTTACAAACCTCGCGATAAAGTGATTGCGCCCAGCCCAACCACACAAATTGTTAATAATTTGTTTTTGTTGCTATTGTTGTTATTGCTAATACATTTAATAGCGATTGCATCGTTTTATTTTTCTCGATTTTTTGAGCAATTTACTCGTGAGCTCACATATCATTTGGGTGTTTGGTGTTTGGCTTACATTAAATTTTTTGGCGCTTGCCAAATCGCTAAACAATTTATTCAAAGTGTTGGCGACAATTCACTTTTCGTTTTCAATTTTGGATTCAAATTCGCATTCGGACTGGGATTTGGGGCGCAACATTTGCGCAACGGCAGCGCCAAAATTTATGGCCCGCCGCTTACCACAAATGCAAGGTCAAATCATTTAGAACAACGGCGGGCGCAGAGGCGGGCCCCAAGTCCGACTCGGTCCTGACCAGCAGCAACAGGTCCGACTCCAGGCAGGAACCCGGCCTGAGGCACAGCCTCAGTTTGTCGGTGAGTCAGCAGCAAGCTGCAATTGACTTTGATTTGTGGTGCCCCCATGTTGCACGAATAAATCAGCGGCAAATACAATTCCCAAGGCCGTGGCAGCCATACAGGCGACAACTACTACTGCCGCTGACGCTGCCGCGGGCGCTGCTGCTGCTGCAGGTATGAGGGTCGGTGGGTGGTGGCGGCGGTTGGGCAAAGCGGGCGCTGATGCTGCTAGCAAAGGTCAAGTCAAGAGAAATTGCACTGAGAGGCGCAAGACAAAAGTGAGAAAGTTAAAAATTATGTCAAAATTTGAATTAGCAGCTGGGAAAAGCAATTCGCAGCCGGCAAACAATGCAATAGCATAAATTAATTTTCCTATCAGCTGCTGCTGCTGCTGCTGCTGCTGCTGCTGCTGCTGCGACGGGAAACGCTTTTCACTTTCGCAAATGAGACACACGATGTCATGTCAGCGGCTTGACTCAGTTTCGACATTAAGATGCCGCCGAGATGAACATGTCACTAGTTGCACGGCGAGAATTATCTATGCTGCAGCAGCTGGAGAGCCACTGTAATATATATATACACATATATTTTCCCTTTTGTGGTATCATTTCGTTGTCGGGTCGTGTTGCCCCTTTTTGCGGTTGCTTTGCGGCTGCGTGGAGCACTCCCAACACACTAGTGAAAATGCTTTCACACCCAGAGTCAGACTGGGAAAATGCATGGGCAATGAGGAAAAGCGCAGCACTTAAAGGAAAGTACTTCAACAGTTCATTCAAACTGATTAATTCCTAATTATTATTGATTTAAATATCGACTATCTAAGCTTCACTTTTGGCATTGGCAGATCACGTCTTATTTTCCCTAATATATACTCTTATAAATATAAATGGATACTTGTCCAAAAATTCATCTGCACACATACGAATTTTTTATTTTTTTTGCCAGATGTGTGGAGAGCAAGAAAATTGAACAAACTGAGAGGAAGAGAGAGAAAAAAATAGATATAAAGGGATAGAGTGTCAATATAAAATTGATAGTCAAGCATGGAAACCTGTAAGGCTTACATGAATTCATGAGAATCGCGTAGTAGGGCAAAATATAAAATAAAAATACGATTAGTCTAATTGGAATGTGTTTAATAAGAGAACACATACTATACAAATATACATATAGCCATACATTTACACACATATACAACTGATGAAAGACCTTCCGCCTATTAAGCCTTAGTCCTATATTTTCCACCATAACGTCATACCGATAAAAAGAATTTAATTTAACGCAACAGTATTCCTCGCATTTTCCGTCCTTAAATTATCTGGAATCGTTGAAACACGGATTCAATAGATCTGATACCGTCTTCGATCGATTTTCGACATTTGCTGTGCGTTGATCACCTATCCGTCAGTCAGTCAGTCAGTCAGCCAGGACATACAAAAGCTGATATTTAGAAGCCATGCTTTAACTTTTAACTGCACTTCTTTAGTTATATTTTACATATGTAGATATTTTTAAGTGAGTTTGAAGTGCATCGAATAACGAAGCGAACGTTGAGGTTGACGCTTGCCGCCCAATTTAATCTCCTGTTGAGAACCTTGAAGTCGAAAAATAAACTTTTGATCGTCCATCTTTTTCCATCTACATACATAGCCTCCTATGTAGTGGACCTCACGAACAGTGCAAAACACGTATGTATAAATGAACACAAATGAGTTTTCATAAAGATCGTTAAAAATTAGTTTGAATCCGATCGGATGGTAAATAAAAAAGTTGCACAAAACCGATTTTCATTATTTTTCCACAGTTGCTAATGGAATTCCAAATCCGATCAGAATAAATATAAAGCGTGGTCCAAAAATGTGTGACTGGTATTTTATTTCAGGAGTCCAGAATTTTTCAAAGTATGGAACACGTTTATAATGAATTTTCATAAAGATGGTTGGAGATAACTTGATAATAACTTGAGCTCGAAAATCCATGCCCAAAACCCTGCCCATCATTTCCAGCAAGGAGGAGTGGAGAGGCTTCCTAAAATAATGTATATAAAGATCTTTAAAAGTGAGTTTGTGGCCTGTCAGATCGTAAGCCAAAGAGTTCTCGATTTTCCCTTCTCAAAGTAAGTAGTAAAAATTTTAGCTTCCTATCTATTATGGCTTAGGCTCTGCGTTGATCACCAATCAGGCAGTTCCATATACAAAGATAAATAAAGGAATAATTTCACAACAACTGCAAAATGTTTCCAAGCGTTGTTTAAATTGCCAAAAATGTGGTGAATGTAGAGCGGGGGCCAAAATATGTATCGAAATTACTCGAAAAAGCGTTTTTAGGTATCGAGTACTCGAAATCATAACAGTGAGACTGCCATGCAACTATCGAGTAAGAGAAACACTGTAAACGGTATCGTGTAAACAGTGCACCACAACCTCACTGTAAATCAACATAAAAAGTACTAAAATGGGCTGTTAGCTTTAACGGAAAATAAATACAATAAAAGTGATAACATGGAAGTCAACACATTATTTCAAACAAAAAATACTCGAGTATTAGATTAGCATGCAGCTTTTCGATGGAATCGGTCAATCAATTTTTCTTAACAGAGGAAACATATATTATATATATTCGATATATTTAAGCGATAACCCAAGCAGAAAACTATAAAAGAAAAATACTAGAGAGATCTGTTGAGCGTTACAGAATGTTATGGCAAAGACTCGAACTCGATCAAAGGTCATGTTTACTATTTCAATTGATAACAATAAATGAATATAGAATACCTGAATATAGAAATTTGTAAAATAAAGTTTAAAAAATATATATGTAAAACTCTACCAGTATTTTGGTGGTTCGACAGTTTAGTTGGCCATGCATTTAATGCCAGATTAGCTTTCAAGATTTGGTGCCTGCTGACTTTTTCGTCATTACATCTTCAACTTCCGTTCAGTTCGGATCCCCAAAAATAGTTGAAAATAGGAATTGTTTAAAAAATGAACAATCTGAGTCCCGTCTTCTACAACGCCGAGTCCGTGCGCCGCGTACTCAATTGGCCGATGGTCAACGAGGCCGTCGAGGCGGCGCTTAAGGCGGTTGTGGATCATACGAGTGAGCCGAACGCCAATGCCGTAGTCGAGCACATGGATCAGGATCAGGGCAATGAGATGCAGTCCAATAACAGCACCAAGTCGTATGTGAGTCAGCCGGCGCGCAGCGTCACCATCGCCGGCAACGATCCCAGCAAGCTAATGCTGACCATGCCCGCCTTTGTGGGCAACTATCGACTGACGGCGGGCGGCGCTGGCGGCGATGCCACCAATGTGGCCCGCTCGACGCTGGCCTGCAAGGTTGTCACATCTTTCAGGGCCAACCGGCAACTACAGCCGCCGTTGCCGAGCATCTGCGCCAACATAATGCTCTTCAATGTCAAGACGGGCGAACTGGAGGCCATTATGGCAGGCACGGACATCACCACATGGCGCACTGTATCCGCCTCGCTGGTGGCCACAAAATATTTATACTTCCGTCGCTTTGGGCCGCGAGCGGAGCATCAGCTTGAGATCAACGTGGCTATCGTGGGCTGCGGCGCCCAGGGGCAACTGCATGCCGCCGCCATGTGCGCCAACTTCAAGGTGAAGCAGCTGAATCTATACAATCGCACCGAGTCCCAAGCCGTCCAGTTGGCCAGCCAGCTGCGCCAGCGGCTGTCCAGCGACAGCAGCAACAGCTATGCCACAGACATGCCCGACATCAAGGTCTGCAGCTCGGCTCGCGAGGCCGTTGCCCAGGCGGACGTCATCTGCATGGCCACATACGCGCGTGAGGCGCTCGTCCATGCCAACGATCTGCGCGAAAAGCGCTCCGTTCACATCAACGGTAAGCCGAGCTCAATTTGATGTCCCTTCCGTCTGATATATAATATATATATATATGCATCCATTTCGTCTTTTGTTAGGAATGAATCCCGATAAAGCTTGAGAAAGGAACTACATATTAGCAGACTCCCCTCATTTGTAAAGAAATGTTGTTGAAACAGCATAGGTCCAGTTACGGAAACTCTTTTCGGTCTGCCGAAGAAACAATATATAGATTTACGAGACGTTTCTATACTTAGCACTATGCACTATGTTCTCTTATCGCCCGATCGTTTATATGGCAGATAAGATTTCGCTCATATGTTATGAGAAGCATGTAAATTCTCGTTGAAACATCTTCCTCGAAACCCAAAAAAGTTGTTCATACTCATTTAAGCACCGTTTTTTTCTATAGAGCTTACGTTATGTGGTGTTCATATGATAAGAACATAATGGAGCTTAAACTATATGCCAAGTTTAATTAAGATATTATAAAAAACGAACAGGATTTTCAATCAAGAGCTTAGTTTTCAACCGATATTTCTATGGCAGCTACATATATGATATGAGGGGATCCAATGCTGCCGAGTCCGGAATATGTAGCTAGAAATATTTTGCATATTAACAGACAAGACAGACAAACGGGCATGACAATTCCTACTCGACTGATCAAAAGAGTTATAAAACCCAAACCCTTCCAAATGCTTGATCTACTTTCAGCTGTGGGCGCTGGCGAGGTACACTTCGGCGAGGTGTCCGCGGATATCTATGCCGAATCGCTGGTCTACGTCGACTGTATGTCCAATGCTGAGCACGAGCTGGTCGGGCTGCCCGCGCCGATAGCTGGCGAGTTGGGCGGAGTTATAATCCATGGCAACTATCCGGATGAGCAGGCCGTGACCATATTTCAGTCGATGGGTGAGCTCTCTAGACTTAATATTATCAATAGCACCATTTGTGAACTCCCATTACGTTTACGTTTCTTTCCGGCGCATAGGAATGGCCTCTGAGGACGCTTGTGTGGCCGAAGCCGTGCAGTCGGCGCTCCTGTCATGCGCCAAGTAATGCTCCACTCCGATTCGGGTTGCTAAAAGAGCTCATTCCACTTGGATGGGATTGTGCCGGGATATCATCCAAGCACTTACGGACAGCAAAATGCATAAGAAAAACGTAGGGGTAGCCCCTCAAAATAATTAGCCATTAGAAATCAACAATAAGCGCTGAAAGCAAACATAAATAAACGAATTAAAGCTGGACAAAAAATCGATCAATATCAAACTGTTTTTTTTTTTTTTGTAAATTTTTTGTTTGTTTTGTAATCATTTTAGTATTTTTTTTTTATTTTCAATGTTTTGTTGGTTGTTTGTTTTGTTTTTGTTTTGTTTTTTTTTTTATGCTTTTGTCATTTTTTTTGTTTTGAAATTTGTTATTCATTAATTTTATGTTTTACTTATTAATTTAGTATCTGGTTTTCTCATCATCTGCTCAACCGCTTGCCCCCCCCCTTGCCTTCAGCCTGGCCCTTCACACCTTTCGCACTCATCCAATTTTCATTTATGTATATAGATGATGTTAGCCTTTAGAAACGCGGCCTAGAACCTAGTGGGAAGTGTTTTTTGTTTGTCTTTTGTCGTTGGTTGGGTTAATTGGCTTTGGGTCCCAGTCTAAGCCCTTTTCAATGCCGCATGCGTTTTTCCCACTTTGGTTTAAATAATTTTTTAGCATAACTATTAAATAATTTTGTTATATAATTATTTATATATATATGTATAATCAGTTTTAGTTTTTGTTTTGCTTTGCTTTTTTTCGCTTCTCAATTTAAATTGTATAATTAATAAAATACTCAACAAATAATTTAATTGGGCTTTTTCATCTTGCGACTTCCGTTGCAAATGAGACACCAGCTTGTTGTCGTTCTTGTTCTTGTTCTTGTTGTTGTTGTGGTTGTGGTTGTTGTTTCCATGTTGTTGTTGGGCTTTAAGTATTTGTATTTTGATTTCTTTTCTTTATTATTTAGTACTATTTAAACACTTAATAGTTATTACACATTATAATGCCTTGTCTTTTTTTCTTTTGAAATATTTGAGTACGCAAATGAATTCAAATTAATTTTTAAAAAATGAATAAAAATCATAAAATCTTCTTTTTCTTTAAAACATTTTGCTTGTTTATTTTGTTGTTGGTTTTTTGTGTTCAGTTCGCTTTTGCTGTGTGGCAAACCGAAACTGTTTTTAAAAAAATAATAATAAAAATAATAGTTTTCTTTAAAATGTATATATACACATATATGTGTTCATACATGCAGTATAGTATATGTATAATTTAAAATGTGCATTTTACATATAGATTCGCTCTTGCTGTTTGTTAAAATTAAATCAACACACACGCATTCAATCGATTGAATTATAGTTACAAAAAAAAATCATAATAATTATAATTATATAATAATATTAATAATCATAGTTGTATTAATAATAGATTTAAATTACATATATTTATTGACGCTGACAATTTAAAAAAAAAAAACACACTTAAGACTGATGGCTAAAATTAAAGGAAAGTACGCACGCACATGCACAAGTTTTGTACGCGTCTATTGAAATGGTTCTTGATTTTTGCTTGTTTATCTTTTCATTTCTTTTCGTTTTTTTGTTTTTGTTTTGTTTTTTTCTGTATTTTTTGCATTGCTTTTGCTTTTGTTGCTGTTGCGTCGAATTTATTAAATTTTAATTAGGCATAAATTAATTAGTATTATTTTATTTTTATTATTACATATATGTATATGTATATTTAATATTTACAGTTTCTTTGCTACTTGTTTGTTTTATGGGGTTGCTTGTTCTTCAGTTGCAACTTGTTGTTGCCTCTTGCCTCCTGTTTCATCATGTGTCTCTGTCTCGTGTAAATCTGTCTCTGTTGCCTACGTTTGTCTCATTCTCATTCGGTTTCGCTTTGCAATATATCATATTTACTTTGTTAGCGCACTAAAATCTACTTTTTCACTTCATTTTTTTTTATTGTGTATTGACTAAAGAAAAAAATGTTTTCGCTTGATTTCTTCATGTTTTCATATTGTGGTTTTTTTTTCGCTTTCAAAATTTTAATCTTTACAGCTCTGCCTGTCTCTTTCCATCTAACACACACTCCCTCCCTCCATTTGATCTTGAAGCGCCTTGCCACAAAATCTTTGCCAGAGCTACGTTTGTTTTTCCTCTTTCCATATTTTTCCTTTCATTTTGTTTTTGTTTTTGTTTTTGACTGCGGCTTGAATAAGCTGTGGAATTTGGGGGCCATAAAAGTGCCCGACGAAGAATCCCCAACCCGCCCTAAACCCTATGTATATGAACTTTTGCTGGTATCTCTCAGCCGTTTCTCAACATTTAAGTTTCGTTTACTTTGCTTTGGGCAAATTTTTATATATGGGTTTTACATACATATAGATCTCTATATATTATTGAAACATTTAGCGTGGTAGTTTTTTTTTTTTGTTTTTTATCATATTTTTAAATTGTTTTGTTTTTTTTTTTTATATATTTCTATTAATATGCCTTTGATATTAATATTTAATACATTGTTACGCAATAGTTCATTACAATTATGGTTTAAAATTAAAAAAAAAAAATATATTATGCAATATAAGTAATACATACATACATCTATATATATATATATATATATATATACATATACCAATATATATGTATACATATACATATATGTATATATATTATATATTTAATAAAAACTATTACATTAGTTATTATTTAATAAGAAGTTTTTTTTTGTTTTCTCAGATGTGTGTGTTCTTACGTTTTTATATATATATATATATTATATATAGTCATGTATATATATAAATTTACTTTTAAGAGTTGGTACAACTTGTTGAAAATTTTGCATATTTTGTTGTTGTTGCTGTTGCTGTATGTGTGTGGCATATAAAAATGTTTGCTTTTTATTGTTTATGATTTTTATCTTTGATAAACATTTCAACGATTTCTTTCGTACAGTGTACTCTTTCTTTCTGCTTTGCTAGTGTATTCAATTGATTGGGTTGTTGTTGTTGTTGTTCCGCGCATGTGTGTGTGTGGGTTCTGTGAAGTGTGAGTGTGTGCGAGGGGGGGAGGGGTTAGGCTTATCGCTGCCAAAATAAAAAACAAACTATTGGCTTTTTGGATGTGAACGATGCAACAGAATTTTGATACAAAATAAATACGATTTAAATGCAAAAACGACATTAAATTCGATTTTCATTTAAACAATTTCATATTGCTGAAATTTCAAACGTGTGCGAGTGTGTTTGTGTGTGTGTGTGGGATGTATAGAAATACAATTTACAGTTTGAATTGAAAAAATTACTTGCATAATAATCTTTATATTTATGTATTTATATATTATGTATATATAATGATTTATGTATAAATGTTTTTTGTTGTTTTCATTATGTGTGTATTGTATATTAAGGCAGAATTAAACAAACAAACTAATCAAGATGAAAAAAAGATATATATCTATATATATGAACAATCTGCAATTTGTGTAAGTGTTTAGGTGAACAACATACAAACTGAACCCATTTTATTTTTTGTGTGGGTATTGGTGTTGGTGTGTGTGTGTAAAGTGTATGTTAAGTTCATGTTACTGTTTCTGTCACATGTCACTGTTATCTCCGCTGTTAATGTTACTGCTCTGCTGTTGTCTGCCGCCATTTTGGCCTTGCTTATATTTTCTTTTTTTCAATCTACGCTAATTTTTGCTATATTTTGTTGGTGTTTGTTGTTGTTTTGCTGTTGCCTGTTACTATTATATATTATTTATTATGTTTTGTTTTGTAATACAAAGAAAAACTCTTTTCTTGCCGTGGGTATCAACGCCATCGTTGGCGTGGTTTTTGTGGTTAATTAGTTACTAAATTTACATTTACCTTTTTTTTTTAATTTTATAATTATTATTATTATTAACTTTCTGCTGCTTATTTCCGTTGTGTTTAATATAGTTAACAAAAAAAAAAAAAAAAAATACACGATTTTAGCAGCCTTTTAAACAACTATGTAGCTCTTCATCTCTTCTCTTTCTCCTCTAGCTCTTCCTCCTCTATTCTGTTTTCTGATCTGCTTCCCATTTACTCGTTTTTTTTTTTTAGCAATCCAGCGTTCGTCTTTAGCTTCGAACCAATTCTCGCTGTCTTTGCTTCTTTGCTGCTTGCTTTGCCATCTTTCAATATTCTTATGTTCAGCTGTATTCATTGTTTTGTTTCTTTTTCTTCTTTTTTCTTTTTTTTTTGCTTTTCGCTTGTTTATCACATTTAATATAATATATATATATATATATACATATATATATATAAATATATATATATATATTTATATATGTATATAGTTTTGTTTAATTTAGTTTTTTATTTTATGCATTTGCGACGCGCATTGCTTGGGAGGCGCCTATGGAAATTCTTCGGGTTGTTCTTGCTGGTTGTTTTTGTGGTTGTTGCTGTTGCTGTTGCTGTTGCATCCATTTGCAGCTGCAGCAGCAGTAGCAGCAGAAGTTAGCGTTCGTTAACTGTTGGCAGTGTTGCTTAACGTCAGTGCACAGCTAGAGCAGTTCCTGCTGCAGCAGCAATAGCTGCTGTTGCTGTTGCAGTTGCGCCTGTTGTTGCAGCTGCTGCTGCTGCCAGCGCTTGTACATGCCCAGATAGGTGCGTGTGGTTGTTGTTGGGGTGCTGGTGCCGCTGTCGCTAATTGTTGTTGCTGCTGCTGTTGCCGCTGAGGCTGTGGGCATGGCTAATACAGGCAGCTGCAGCTGCTGTTGCGAGTGCAATGTTGTTGCTGTTAATGTTGTTGTTGACGATGCTGCTGCTGCTGCTACTGGCGGCTGCAACTTGTAGTGCGTGGCATCCATTACAGTCTCGTAGCAATAGGCGGCCGCATCAAGTAAAGTTGTGGCATAATAGCTGCTGCTGAGCAGCCTACGACTGCTGTAGATGTTGTTAATATTGTTGTTTATGCTGCTGCTGCTGCTATTGTTGTTGTTGTTATTATTATTATTATTATTGCTGATATTATTATTATTGTTGCTGTTGTTATTGTTGGTACGTTGCTGTTGGCTAGCAGCTGCTGCTGCGGCGGCGAATTATGAATTGGAATTGCGTTTAGTTGGCAGCTAGGACGAGCTGGACTGATTCATATTGCCAAACATGTGGGCTGAGAACGATGTCTGTCCCGCCGAATTGGCCTGCGACGTGGACGACTGTTGTTGCTGTTGCTGCTGCTGTTGCTGCTGCTGCTGCTGCGCCTGCTGTTGATTCAGCGAGCCGCGCCCGTGCTTCGGTATGGGCGGCTGAATATACTCATGCCGTGCCAATGCAAACACATCCATGCGATCCTCCTTGCGATAGGCCAAACAGCCGCGTATGAAACTCTACGAGAAAAGATCGAAACCCATAGCCAGCTTTAAAAATATGATCTGAGGAAAAAATAGTGATTCGGACTAACCTTTGCCTCATTGGAGACAGTTGGCTTGTTGGAGAACTGCACTTCGGTGGCCTTCAGTATGGTATTCTCCTCGAGAATTGTGGCCTGCGATTGATTATGGCCAAACGGCTTCTTGCCATATAAACACTGATAAAATATCACGCCCACGCTCCACACATCCACTTTTGATGAGATTTTCGGAGGATTCTTGCCAACCACAAAGCATTCCGGCGGCAGATACCTGCAAAACACCAATCGAATTATTGAGCTGTACATAAAAGTCGTCAGCTTGATTTGCATTTACCAATAGGTGCCCGCGCCCTGAGACGTCAGATCCATGCCATGATCCGGATTGTAGTTCTCATCGTCCATCACTTTGGACAAACCGAAGTCAGTTATTTTGATCTCGCCACAGACATTGCCCTCGGTTAACAATATATTGCCCGGCTTCAGATCGTAATGGATGACAGGCGGTTTAATCTCATTTAGATACTTGAGTGCAGATACAACCTGCATATATAAAATAATGAATATGGATATGAATACAATGTATATCAAATGTAACAGCACCTATCGAAATATAATTGAATACGAATATCAAACGAAAGAGAATACAAAAAACTAGCATCGTAGCATAAGAGCTAACTTTTTCTCGATGCATAAGTTTGAGCTAGCAGCAAAACGTTTACGAATGCCACATTAAAATGAAACATGGAAAAAGTAAACTTATTCAAATTCCGTGGGGGAGGATGAAATGCATTCATTCTCAAATTGAAACTTTCATTTCTATGCGAGATCAGCAAAACGTTTACGAATGCCGCGCACAAAAGGCAATTTAAAAAGCGTAAGCGTAATATAGCAATATTTAGAAGGGTTTAGTTATATGCCCGATTCTTTGTATAGCCGCACAAAAATGCATGGCATAAACATTGAATTCAACTTGTAAAATTGTAGTGAATGGGTAACAATTGTTTCATATATAGTTTTGTGCACACTTACCTGCATTATTATCGAGCGCGCCTCACGCTCGGGTATAGTCTTATGCTGCTTCAGATAAAAGTCGAGATCGTGACCATCACAATACTCGAGCACGGTGCAGAACGAATTCGCATCGATCTCAAAGACATCGTAGAGCTTCACCACGCGCGGATGATCCAGCGCCTTGTGAATGTTGTACTCCCGCAAGGCGTGTCTAGATTTTAAGTATACAAAACATAGTCGGAAGCATGAGCAAAATGTGTGCCTGCGCGGGTGTATTATGATTCAATGAAGCGAATCCACTACCCTCTCACTTTTCTAATTCCCTTAACTGGCATTATTTATTCAAATTTATATCAATATTTTATAGAACTTGTAGAAAGCCCTCTCCAGCATCAAGTCCTACATTTAATTATACTTATAATTATGTGCGCACATAAATATATTTAAATTTCTCTAATAAAACATCATTTTTAACAGGCTATGACGCTCTTTGGCTAACATGTAAAATGTTACACTTAACATGTTAATGTAAATAGCACGCTCATTCTGGGATATTAAAATGAACTGTTAAGTGACGGACGAATATCTGATAACTGAAGGTATCCAATTGATTTCTAGTTTGTAATTTCTAATTGCTCTGTTCGCGCTGCTGCCTCTACTCACTTGATATAATTAGCTTTCTTATCCTCCTTCCAATCCTTGTTTAATTGGTGCACCTTACATGCGACATAGCGTTGCTCCTTGAGGTCAAATGCCTTGTGCACCTCGGAGAAGCCGCCCTTGCCCAGCAGCATCAGAAGCAGATAGCGATCATTCAGCACAGGATGATTGTTAAAGCGGGACTGCAATGGGAAAAATGTGATTAGCACAACAGAAACATATTGATGGCTTGCCAGGCTGGACTGGCCAGGCTGGACTGGATCAGGTACCTGATCTTCGTTGAGTATGCGCTTGAGCTCGCGTATGTGGAGATTACGTTCACGCTCGAGCTTCTCCATCTCCAGCTGCAGATCGGCGTCCTCCTTTTTGAGTGCGTTCTGTCGCAGCTTGAGTATCTCATCGTATTCGTAGTACTCCTGCGCCGTATACGCGCCCGACACCGGATCCGGTTTAAGAAATGTGCCCGAATCGGAACAGCTGCCGCTATCGTTGCCACCGATGCCGCCGCCGCCGCCAGCTCCAGTTCCACTGCCAGCACCGCCACCACCGCCGCCGCCACGATCCGACAGTCTATCACCGACGCCGCCGCTGTTGCCGACATTGGCGACCGATCCGCCGCCGCCGACGCCACCGCCAGCAACGCCGCCGCCGGCACCACCGCCGCCATTATGAAGCAGTTGCGCCTGCTGGGCTTGTGTTGAATTGGAGCGGGAGAGACCACGGCCGCACGAGACGACCACAACAGCACCGCTGCCAGCACCTACGCCGACGGCGCCAGATGCGTTGACGGCGGCGTTGCCGACAGCAATGCCGCTGTCCAGGCTGCCGGCGCCGGCATTGCCGCCAAGGCGATCAGTCAGCTGGGAGGAGTCATTGGAATTGGAATTCTGTTGTTGCTGCTGGTGCTGGTTGTTTTGCTGGTTGCTGTTGTTGTTGCGCTTGCGTCCGGATTCGGCTGGGCGCTTCTTCATCAGCTGCTTCTTCTGGCGATCGATCTCCTCGCGTTCAGCCGTTATCTCCTCCTGGCGTCGGCTTAGCTCCTGAAACGCATAGCCGTCCGTCCAGTTCTCCTGGAATGTGGCGCCGACGCGCTGTGTCACAAACTGGCCCAATCTCAATCGATTCTGCATGCATTTCTGTCGCGCCTCCTTCTTCTCAATGCTGCTCTTCTCCTTGAGCAGCTTCTTAACCACATCAATGCACTTGGCAATGTGCGACTTGTGCTGATCGATCACCTTCTGGTGGCTCATTATCTGGCACTTTTGCTCATCGGACAGTCTTGTCATCTCGTCCAGCTTCGCTTTACCCGACTCGTGCTCCGCCTCCCGCTCCTGCAGCTCCATCTGCGACACTTCCGTTTGTGTGCTCTTCGTGTATGTCATGATTGCCGTCGGCATTGGCAGTGGCGGCGGCGGCGGCGGTAAACCGCCCACACCCACGCCCACGCCCACATTGACGCCAACACCGACGCCCACATTGACGCCCAGCGTGCTTAGCTGCTGATGCGTGGGCACAACGGCCACGCTGGCCGCTGATGTTGTAACGGGCAGCTGTTGCTGTTGCTGCGCCTGCTGCTGTGACGTTTGTGGCCCGACCACGCCCAGTCCGAGACTGGCGGCGTTAAGGACGCCATGCCCCACGCCGACATGTGACATGGCCACGCCCATTTGCGTCTGCTGAGGAACCATTGCATTGGAAGTCTGTTGTTGCTGCTGCTGCTGTTGGCGCTGCTGCTGCTGCTGTTTTGCCGCCGCTGCCGCCGCCGCCGCCGCCGCCGCAGAGCTAACAAAATGAAACTCGGCGCCCGCCTGCTGCACCTGCTGCTGGCTGGGCGACTGCGTCTGTGGACTAGTTGAATGATAGCCGTGTATGGAGTACGCGCTCGTCGTCTGCACCTGCACCTGGCTGTTGACCTGCTGTTGTTGTTGCTGCTGCTGCTGTTGTTGTTGTTGCTGCTGTTGCTGTTGCTGCTGCTGATGCTGTTGTGTTACCGACGATGGCGACTTGCTACCCGTGTGCTGCCGCAGCGTTGAATTGGCGCCCGACTGCTGCTGCTGCTGCTTGTTGAAGTAATCGTTGATCTTCTTGTTGTCACTGGCGCCTGGCAGTAATAGACGCGCACTTTTGCCGCCAGCGCTGGCCCCGGAGCCGCTGACGCTGCCGCCGCCGCCGCCGCTGGGTAGTGTGCAGCGATCAGCGCCCAGGCTTAACGCTAGGCCGGCTGGCGTTTTCGTAATGCCGTCGCGGAATGCCAGCGATTTGCCGACTTTGAGGCCGCCGACGCTGCTGCTGCTGCCGCCGCCGCCGCCGTTGCCGGTCTCGTCTGAACTATTCGGCATTTTACGTTTTCGCTTGCGCTCCGCAGGCGTGCGCGGCTGTTTCCCGCTGGCATTTGTGGCGGGTACGAGTCCGGGTCCGGGTCCGCTTCCCGGACCAGTGCTATTGTGCTGCTGTTGCTGCTGCTGCTGTTGGACACTGAGCATGTCAAGCATGGAGGCGCCGTTGTTTGAGTGCAGTCCTGCGTTTAGCTGCTGCTGTTGTAGGCTGCCGAGTCCTAGCATATCGTTGACATCCTTTTCGCTGTGCGAGGAACCAGTGCTCATATTCGAGTCCGGATTGCTACTGTGTCCGCCAGCAGCGCCGTGTGGCTGCTGTTGCTGCTGATGCAGCGCTGCGTGCGGATGCTGCTGGTGCAAATGTTGCAGCTGTTGATGTTGTGGCGGCAGTGCGCTATGATGCAGCGACTGTTGCTGCTGCTGCTGTTGTTGTTGTTGCTGCTGCTGCTGTTGCGCT